TATTTTATTTCAAAATTCTCCACTTGTCTCCTTGGGTCTCAAAGTGTCTTACTTTAACTCGATTCACTTCCAAAACACCGTTTTAACTTACTGATTCTTCCTTGATAAAATTTTATTATTTTATTATAATTTTTCTCCATGTATGGAATATTTTATTCTAAAATATAAGTTCCACCCATCTCCACTCTTTTGCACTTAATGTAGCTTCAATTGTCACTCGTCTTATCGATAATGAGTGAAGCCTTTACCATACTTATGCTATTATGACTTAGTTGCACCTTGCTTATCACATATCTTGCACAAATCCATGAGAGAAATTGACATTAACTCTTTTTAAGGTAAATTAAAGCAAAATAAAGTAAAATTGGACTAAAATAACTTAATTTAACTATTCAACATGCAATCTAACTTAAATTAAAAAAACACCTAAAATGCTAAAATCTAAATTTAAAAACTCAAAGGTCTAACTACTTAAGCCCCCGAAATGTGTCAAAATAATTCTATATAATAGAGTTATCAAGGCGTAGCACAATGAATAAATGTAGATGGAAGTGCATAACATTATGCATGAAGCATCCACATGGATTTAACCATAAAGCCCCACTCACCTTGACAAATCCGAGAGCTCCTTTAACAACAATAACAAATAAAGCTCACCAAATACCCTAGCTTTAATCCAATGATTCCACCCTCTGACAAATGGGTAGAATTTCTACTCCCATCATAGTTTAACATTCAACATTTACACCTTCATTATTATTCATACATCCTTCACAATTTTAAGCCAAATCTTGGCTTTCAAATTAATTCTAGTTTTCAAATATATCACAGATTCTACACTACAATGTCAAATCTTCATAATTCCTTCACAAGAGATTTGAATATTACCTTAGTTGCTGATTATGGTCCACCTTAATACCAATTCTCTAGCAATTTCCAACCTCAAATTATCACCAAGCTGAAACATTGAATTTCTCACTGTTCAACTATTTAATTCAAAAACTAATTAGTTCAAAGCTTTAATCTTACATCAATATCATTTTCCTAAGCTCAAATCTGCTCTAAATGGCCTCCAAATTCCATTTAAGAATGTAAGGTTTGAAGAAGCAACATGTGGGAGTGTTTTTAACTTTGTTTTGATATGTGTGGATTGGCCAAGGTCTTTTATTTTTGCAAGTTTTTATGCATCCATTGATAGATATCTCATAACTTTTCCGCATGTTTAGCCTTCCATCTATCAATAGATTTTTTGAGTCTATCGATAGATGGTACACTGGAGATTTTTCCATTGCTTCCGGGTGGCAATCTATTGATAGTCTTTATGGATTTATCAGTAGATCATACATTTGTTGCTTATAAGTCATTCTCGAGCAACCATCTATCGATAGATACAGCAAATTTATCAATAGTTAGTGGGAGTTTATCAATAAATGTTCTTCAATTCTTGTCATTTTTTGGTTTCAACTTTCATCTATCCATACATCATGAACATTTATCTATATATCATGCATAAACTTCAATTCTATTCGTGTTTAACCTCTCAAATTCATTTTTCTAGGTTCTTAATGCATTCTCATTCAGAGAATCATCTAAATCTACCATACTTTACTCCTTAATAAGGCATACGTTTATCATATATCTTGAATTGTAGATCATGCCTAATTCAACATAATTTATACATTCACATTATAATCTAAGCATCATGCTTTGGCATACAAATGCACTATATCATTTAGGTGCCAAACACATACACGCACATCATCAAGGCCTTAAAACAAGCCATTGTTCATATCCACAAGTTTTCAATTAGGCTAACATTTGACTTACTTCCCATACTTGTTTAAAATAAAAATTAAAGGTGTTACACAACCATTGTTATCCCACCTTTCTTTGTTATGCATTGCACCAAACTTACCCAAGCACTATCCCAAATAAGATTGATGATACCTGTATCTAGCCATTTGCTGATCTTCTTCTTCACCACCTTCTTCATGATTGGATTAAATCTTCTCTAATGCTTAATAGTAACTCTGTGATCTTCTTCCAACTAAATTTTAGCATGCATATTAAAGAACTTACCCCTTTTTGTTTGCAGTTGTCCACCCTAATGCCTTTTTGTGCTCTCTCAAAACTCTCAACAACTTATCTTTCTGCTTGTTAGTAAGAGCAAATGAAACAAATACAGGAAGAGTAGACGAGTTACCAAAATATGCATACCAAAGATAATTTGGTAATGATTTAAGCTTTACCTTTGGAAGTTCTTCAATAAATAGCTTCACTAGTGATGATGAAGAAGATGAGAAATCCAATGTCTCAAATTGTGTTCAAGACTTTTAATGAAGCATTCAATACATTTACACATTCTAGGACATCCTCATTACATATTTAGACTCAGCACTCAAGGAAACTTTAAGTGGGTCAATAGGGCGGCTTTCCTTAAAAATTGCACTTATGATCCTATCAACCACACTCACTACAAAACACTTAACATGATCATTCGTAAACTTTAAAGCTTTAAATATATTAAAGGTTCACTCTTGATCTTGCACTCACAGGGTTAGCTCTGATTTCTCCACAATGATAGGTGCTCTAGCAGTGTGTAAGAAAGGTCTCATAAAGATGATAAGAACCTTTTTGTCCTCTTCCATATCAAGTACTATGAAATTTGTAGGAAAAACGAATTTATCAACTTTCACAAGCACATCTTCTACTACACCTCTTGGATACGTGAAGGTTTGGTTTGCCAATTGTAAAGTCACAGTAATGGGCTTAATCTCCCCCAAACCCAGCTTATTGTATATAGACAAAGGCATCAAATTAATATTTGGCCCTAAATCACTCAAAGCCTTGGTGAAAAATAATGCACCAATTATGTAAGGAATAGTAAAGCGGCCAAGGTCCTTAAGCTTCTGAGGAAGCTTGTTCCATATGATTGCACTATACTTTTTAGTGAGTGCCACTATCTCAAATTCACCCAACTTCTTCTTCTTGGACAAGATATCTACCACGACGTAACCCTGAGTTTCCATGATTGGGGCACGAGCTTGGCAGGTGAAGCCCTTGAGGCACGAGCTTGGTAGGTGAAGCCCTTGATTAAAGGTGCTCAAATATTCATGTTCAAAAAATATTCTAAATTTAAATACATTTAATTTTCCCCTTGGCACATAATTCATACATAAACTTAATAATTCCATTCATTGGCTATAAAGCAGGTTCGCATTTAACAACCCTTAATACAAGTTCAATGGCACAATGTGCCTACATACATAACTAACCCAAGTGCGAAGTGGAACCCTATGACAAACTTAGCGAAGTGACCAAAATGGGGGACCTACTAGATGCCAAAATCGATCTGTCACTGGACAACCTTTGCCAAGTAATTTTGTGGCCTATTTATCTGCACATAATACAAACACATGGGCGAGTCATCTAATACTCAATGAGAGGTGTAGATAATCAAAATGTATATATATATATATATATAAATATTTATGTAAATATTACACTATCAGTGCAACCAAATAATTTAATAAACATTTCCAAGGTTAAGGGAAATCATCATCCCTACAAAGTCTCCACAAATTTATACATATCAATTGACTTCTCCTTTCATGCCATTCATGGCATTCCCCACTACACAGTTTAGTTGTTCGGATATGATATCAAATCCAAATCAAATTTATCTATGCCTACCCAAGGCTATCACATGTATTACACAGATCAAATCACAATCATAGAGTGGTTCTCTCTTTGACATCAACAAAGCACACACGATGGCCAACCAGTGGAAACAAATCATACTCAAGGCAAAGCCATTGGCAAAAAAATAAATCATGCGTGTGCCGATTCAACGAGCAGAGTATCAGAATCATTGTCTATAGTAATCTCCCAATGGATGGCATCACTTACAGTATTCTTAAACGACTGGCACTAAAGCATTGTAAGCAAAAATCACAAATAGGACTACTACCATTGTCCCTGTTTACCACCATCCTTGAAAGCACAGAACAAGTCATAGGGGGATGGGACTCCACTCAACCTCAAGTCAAATCAACATTCACAATTCATCCATTGAACAAAATATAAATCCACAAAAAAGGCTAGCCTTTGACATTCCATATGTTCACATTAAATCACAAATCACATTTTTACAAGCTTCAAATCATCTATAAGCTCAATATAGTTTAAGTGCCTTAAATCTCTAACACATCAAATGCTCATAATCCATTAAAGGGATCAACTGTCTGGAGTAATCTACTCCTAGATGCTTATCATATCCTCTAGAGTCTATAGTCTAGGCTTACACAATAAAAATAGGCCACATAGTGGCTCATCTAATGCACACATATCACAGCACATATAATCGTATACATATATATTCATAAATATAATTATTCTCTAGCCTAGGCATGTTTATCTAGGCCTACATACAAAATCTAGTACTAGTGCAGCGCATTTATCATGCATCGTGCATTTCATGCATTTTAAATTAACCCACTCATAGTGACAAATGGGAGGCATTCCTACTGCCAAGCTCAACTTCAGCCTCCAATTGTCCTTTGGCTCACCAACAAGTTAAATATATCAATTTCCCCTTAGAACACATTTGACATCAAAATATTAATAATTTTCTGGTTTTCAAAAATGCCCAGCTTTTTTAATAATAACCAATTTCTTAACAGTCCAACATAAAAGCTTGAATCCTTCAATAATGAGCTAAACCCATACTTTAGAAGCTAGATTACATGAAATTAAGCTCCCAAATTCTAGTAAATCAAGAAAAATTCACCAAAGCTGGAAAAAATAGATTTCTAAGTATTTAATGAAATTGAAAACTAATTGGTAAAAATGTTTAATCTTAGTTCAATAACATTTTCTCCAACTCAGATTATCTACAAATTACTCCAAAATTGGTTTGGGCAGTTAAGGTTTGAGAATGGTAGAGAGAGAGAGAGAGAGTTTGGGGTTTTTGTTTTTTAAACAGGCAAATAGCCTGAGACCCCTTTTATTTTTGCCTTTCCTCAGTGATGTATCTTTACATTTGGGAATGTATGATACATATGCATAAATTTCATTCAAATCTATCGATACATTGAGGTAGTGTCTCGATAGATTTCAGGAAGAATGCTTACTGCTTTGAATGTATTGATACATGAAGGGAGTTTATTGATACTTTTCCCTCGAGTGCCCTCTATTTCAAATCTATCGATACACTTGGACAATATATTGATAGATGTTCATCTTTCTAAAGATGTATCGATACATTGAGGAATGTATTGATACAATTTCCCTCTAGCACCTTTTATTGTTCATCTACCAAGAATGCATCGATGCATTTTCCCCTATAAGCAGTTTTAAACTTTTTAAATTTCTAAAAATCCAAACTTAATACCCAAAAATCATCCCATATTAATATCATACTTCCAATGATTCATATAATCCAAATTCATACAATCATATCCCCAAATATCACATCAAATTCAAATCAATACTTCAACTCTGAGATTTATCACTTTTCCATAATATTTGCCTAAGTGTTAATAAGTATACTTCCATACACTTATCATATTCATCATATCATAAATTATGAAATAGTTCTCTGTACACGTAGGCATACTTTCAAATAACTTAATTCACATCAAAATTGGGTGTGTTACAACTTTAAAAATTTCACATATGAAGGCAACTGCTCTAAAGCCTAAACAAAGGGAATGCTGATATGAAGCTTTTTAGGCACCTCGATAAATTTCTAGAACTAGCTATCTCCTTGTTGTTTCTTGAAGCGCTAAAGAAAGGGTGGTGGTGGTATAGTTGTGTTTGCCTCCTTCTCTAGACACTGCTCATTAGATTTTGCAATCTATGTCCCAATTTTAGCTGTCTTACCTTTCTGTTCAACTTGTTTTGAGTTACTTTCAGCTTCCTTTTCACTTCTCAAGGTAGTGGCTTTGACATATTCCTTATCTCTCCTCATTAGATTTGCCTCTGTGTTACTAGGTAAGATCCCTTGAGCCTTATTGTTAATTGAGTTGGCAAGTTGACCAACCTAGGTCTCAAGGTTCCGAGGTAAGGCTGCCTGACTATGTACAAGGGAATCAATCAGCAATACCTCCATGGATGGTTTCTTTTCTAGAGTAAGAGCTCTGGTTTATAGTTGGAATATGAGAGGCACATTAGGCCTTAGAGCCAAATATGATCCTTGATTATTACCCTAAGAAAAGTTTGGATGGACCCTCCACTCTGTGTTATAGGTGTTGGAGTAATGGTTTTTTTATTGGTTGTTCCCCACCAATTGAAAAGTGTTTGCACTGCTTGGACATTGATTACTAGCATGCCCATCTCCATAATACTCACAAACTACAAAAGGTCTTTGAACCTAGTTAGCACCAAAAGAATCAAGTTTTTAAGTTAGCGCTACTACTTGTGCTGATAATGTTGAAATGGCATCTACGTCGTAAACTCCAGCTACTTTCCTATGCATTGATCATTTTGATGGCTACTAGTAATTGTTTGATGCCATCTCTTCCACTTGGTCGTATGCCTCATCAATTGACTTTGCATATTTAACTGTAGCATCAATAGTGGTCTGAGCATGACCACTAAACCCATTATAAAATGTCTGCACTTGAAGCCACTTTGGAAGACCATGATGATGGCAATGCCTAAGCAGATCCTTATATCTTTCCCAAGCCTCGTACAACAATTTCATATCTAGTTGCATGAACGATTTGATATCATTCATCATCTTTGCTATCTTGGCCGAAGGTAAGAATTTGGCAAGGAACTTTTGAGCAAGGTCATCCCATAATGTAATAAAGCTAGTAGGAAATGAGGTCAGCCACACAATACCTTTTTCCCTCAATGAAGAAGGGAAAAGTCTCAAATGGATTGCATCATCTGTGACTCTATTATGTGTAAAGGTGTCACATATCTCCAAAAAGTTTCGCAAATTAGACTAAAGTTTGGATCATGGTGATGACAGTCAACTTAATCTCAAAATTGTAAACATGAACAACTAGCCTTCAAATGCTCGAGGGAAGCCCTTGTACTAATGGAATAGCATATTCCTTTAAGCAACGATTCTCTTCCACTACTCTCTTAGATTTGTTGTTCACCTTGTCGATCAGCCATTGTATTAGCCTAAGCAAAACATTATTGATTTTCTCGTCAAAGTCTTCATAATGTTCTCTCAATCTTTTTATCACAAGATGCAATCTAAAAGCTTTTTACTCTTCTCATACAATGATAGAACAAACCTAAAAACAAAGAAAGAAAAACTCAAATTAAGAATAATTTGTTGAATTTTAATATTAGTAAAATAAATGGGAAAACACAAATTCCTGGCAACAAAACTAAAAACTTGTTGTGGATTCAGTACACACAAGTGTACATATCAAACAAGTAATATAGATAGTAATTCCAGAATCATATCCCATAGGAATTTGCTCCTAATTATTCATCAAGTACTAAAATTATGACAAATCAACCTTGTTCAAGTAACTCAATTTTGTAGACAATTAATTAAAACTAAATTCAATCAATAACTAAACTGATTAATGAAAACTAAAAATTCACTAGAGAAAACCAATATATTAAAACCTAGGATAATAGGTTCACTCAACACTCCATCTAACGTCTATTTCTCTTAATATTAACATTCATGGGTAGTTTTGCTAACTTTGAAGCCAAACCTAAGCGCAACCCTTTGTTGAAATGCTTGCACAAATACCTAACATAATTTGGTCACTATACGTTTATAGTAATCAATTTAATAAGGTTCATTAAGCTAGTGTTGTAATTTGGCTATGTATGGCATTTAGGCATATGTCTACCCTAATTGCGAATTAGATCATGTAAATTACATGAACATAGACTATTCAAACCATAGTCCACTTTAAAATCACTTTGTTGAGTCTCATTCAGATTCACAAATCATTCAATTGTTGGAAAGACAACCAAAGCATTATGAACAAGTTTGAATAAACAAAACGATACCCATTAATAGTAACTAAATGGAAAACAAATATTCCAC